CTGATGATTTCTAGGATAAAACTCAGCTGCTGGTGTTCGTCAGATGTATTTTAGGTGCCTTCGGCTGCACTGGATTAAAATCTAACATGAAAATGTTTCTACGCAGCGCCTCTGATGGCTGCAGAAAGCAGGCTCACACAGCAGGTGACGTTTTCTTCCGTGTCCGAAGCGTTCTGTGGTGACCTTATTGATATTGTCCACCTCCTTCTCCTCCAGGAAGTCGCTCCTGTCTTGATACCACTCCTTCACCGTGGCGACCTCAGTGCCTTCAACGCACACTCACAGGTTACTCATTACAAACAACACAACCATAAATCATCTCACTAACGAACTAAAAATATAAAAGAAGGTGTCTAATTTCTTAAAAATATTAAAAACTACATATTTTACAAACCAACTTTAAAAAGATTAGCACGCTGAGAAAATCTCAGAAATCTGAGAACGTCTGAGAAGTGCATGAGGAGCGCCGCTGAGAGACGTTCCTGCTGGAGAACTTCCCCTTTTTTCCTTGTAAAGAAAAGCACATTCACGTCTACATGAAGACAGGAGAGCGTGTTTCTCTGGCACTCACAGTCTCGGTCTTTGTATTTGCTCAGTCGTGTGACGACGCCGTATAACCTTTTGGACGTTGCAAACCTCTCCAGCTGGGCTTGTTTGTAGCGGATCACCTTCTTTCCTCCTGGCCAGCGGTTCTTCAGGGCTGAATAATAAAGAAGAGGCAGTATTTGTGCAGGTTCGACAGCATCGGGTGACGTCTGTTTGGGTTCTAGAGGTTAAATCTTGAACTGAATAACAACACATGAAACCTAAAGCTGAAGTAAAACTGGTGAACAACATACGAGGTGATGTTCGTGCAAACAGAGCCTACCTTCTCTGGAGATGGAAATGTAGCCGACCCAGGATCTCGGCATCTCCAAAACTTTGGGCACGTCCTCCTTCGAGACAAAGCAAGTTCAATTTACATTTATTGTATTCACAGTAAAATCGTGTTTCATTTGCATTCACAAAATGACCTGAATCAGTTCGTCTCAGGCGCAATTCTCCAAAACCACGGCTAATAACGGAGCTTCCTTTAGAGGTAATAAGCACAAAAATGGGGGGAATTGTTATTATTATTGTTATTTTGTTTCCTTTGACCACAGTCCTGATCACAAAGAGTAGACCAGTTGGCTCCTCAGGTGCTCTAACAGCTACATGGAGGTGAAGACGCTGCAGAGATTTGCAGTTTCAGCCTCGGTCGACTCAGCTGTTAACACTGCTCATTTCTGCAATAACAACGTCTCGACAAATTGTGTCCACCAACGTTTTCATTCTTTTTTAAGGCTAACGTCAGAAACACAGATGTATTTACCTGAAATCAAGAGACGAGACTGAAAATAAAAATCTGTTTATGTGCAGGAAACGAATAGAAATGTACTAAATATAAATTAAAAGAAGTGAAATGACGACACAGAGCTGAAAATATCAGCATAACTTTTGCAGCACAGCGTTTCACTCTGAGTCTCGTTTAAGTGTTTAAATGACTAATGTTGAAAGAAGAGGAGCTGTTGTTAACAGAGTTGTTGATAACAGGAAGTAAGTGTGTACTGACTGTTTAAGAGCTTCATCCTTTCATTTGTCATTCAGTCAGAGGTCAAATATTTCCTTTAA